CCCCCCCCCCCCCCCCCCCCCCCCCCCCCCCCCCCCCCCTTCTCTGCCGCCCACGTCGCCCCCTTCCCCCTTATTTTAGCATTTAATTCCTCAATGATTTCTTATTTATTTTTAATTATCGTGTTGCTCCAAAATACAACAATTTTATTATTTATTTTTATTTTCTCATGTGACAAATGATTCATTCAATACTTAATTAACTAAACATACATATAACCTTAATAATTAGGGTCTTACGTTACAAAGTCACATATTTAGCAGATACAATAATTAAAGCCATGTTTTTTTTTTAATGCTAAAAATAGTTATTTGAAAAAGTTAAGAATAAAAATGATTTTCAAACTTTTATCCTAAAGCATGTTGCTTTCTATCCTCTCCATTTTGTTCCCAGTATATATTTTATTGATTTTTATTAATTTTTTATTTTATTATATATTTTTATATTAAAAAATATAGAAAATATATAATATCTAATCCAATAATAAACGGAAATTCTTTATTAAAAATTTAATGAGACGTTAAAATGATGACATGAGTGGATTAAGTTAAAACATAATTTTTTTTTAATTTTATGAACCCTTATTTCTTTTGTCGAAATTATTATTACTATTATAGAATATATCCCACCGAATACATAATTAAATTGGTTTGTAAAATCCTCTAAAATCAAACTATTCTTAAATTAATAAAATTGATTCTAATTATATTTTTTCAATCTCAACGAGGAAATAATAATAGGTTATTATGATTTCAAAAAAGTGACTATGGTGAAATTGGTAGACATGTTGCTCTTAGAAAGCAGCGTTAGAGCATCTTGGTTCAAATTTGAGTAGCAACATGCCATTTTATATTATAAAACAAGTTTTTCACGCCCCGATATTAATTAAATTGAGGGACATTTTTAAATTATATATATATATATAAAAAAATTGATTAATTCCCCAGTAACATTTTTTTATCTGAGTTAAAGGACCTTTTTAAATTATATAATATATATAAATCATTTTTTATCTGAGTTAAGGGACCCTTTTAAATTATATAATATATATAAAAATTGATTGGTTTTGAGTTAACTTGATCTAATTCGTTAGTTTCCCTGAAATGTTTTTTTTGTCAGAGTTGACTTAACATTTTTTTTATCTGAGTTAAGGGACCTTTTTAAATTATATAATATATATAAAAATTGATTGGTTTTGAGTTAACTTGACCTAATTGGTTAGTTTCCCTGAAATATTTTTTTTTGTCAGAGTTAACTTAACATTTTTTTTATCTGAGTTAAGGGACCTTTTTAAATTATATAATATATATAAAAATTGATTGGTTTTGAGTTAACTTGACCAATTAAAAATTAGGGCTCAGTTCATAGCCTAATTGGTTAGTTTTCCTAAAATATTTTTTTTTTTGTCAAAGTTAACTTGATCAATTAAATTTTTTTTTGTGAGTTAAGGGACCTTTTAAAATTATATATATAAATTGATTGGTGGTTAGTTAACTTGACCAATTAAAAATTAGGGTTCAATTCATAGCCTAATTGGTTCATTTCTCTAGAACAATTTTTTTTGCCTTGACCAATTAAAAATTAGAGTTCATAGCCTAGCCCTAACGTATTTTCAAAATTGTATAAAATTTTAAATAATTTAAACAACAAATAAATCGACAACTGGGTCGGGTTATGAGTTTTGTTTTGGTTATTGTGAGTAACAATTGCTTTCAATCAATTATTGAATGAAAACCTAATTCCAAGTAAGGTTCTTATCCAAATGGGATGAGGGGAATTTTTCCCTCGAAAATATTAAATGCTTTTATATACGTCCAAATTTGCATGGTAACGCTAAACTGCACGGCCTTCCAAAATCTTAAATGAATTTTCAGAAAGACAAAATTTTTAATTAAAGTTAATAATAAAATACTTTACGTATAAATACATGGATATCGCCTTCAGTAGCGCGAAGTTTGCGGACTTGCATCAACTCACGCGCTCGAGTACGAAACATTGGTACTCGCCCACAGATGGATCATATGTTTAGGCAGAGGTGACTACGGTTGCTCAAACTTCGGGCGTATAGGAAAGCGCCACGTGTTTTTCCTTAGTCGACTTGTCGTTCTCTTTCTTTCTCATGGTCATGGGGATCTTAAAACTTTTGGATATTGGCATTGATCCGAGTGATAAATGGTAACTGCTAACCCAACCCACCGTGCCAACCAATATTCCTCCACCTTTTCCTTTCCCCATGTCTTTAAACTTGCACACCACATGCTCGATAAAATGCCCGACTGAAAAAAAGTAGAACCCAACCAATTTGAAACTGAACAACAACTCTACTGCTGCTGTTGTGAGATTGGTAAATTTGTTTATTCTGCTACTCAGCTGAAACCCACATGGAACGCTATGAGATACTCAAGGATATTGGGTCTGGGAATTTTGGTGTTGCTAAACTTGTGAGAGATAAGTGGAGTGGCGAGCTTTATGCTGTCAAGTATATTGAGAGGGGCCACAAGGTACTGTTCTATCATCTTCATAACTTCAATCCCTGTTCATCCCACAACTTTCCCAATTGGTTTACAACATCTGCTTCTTGATTTGTGCTCTGTAATATGTCGGTGAAGTTTATATTGATTGTCGGTTTCTTGCAGATCGATGAGCATGTTCAGCGGGAGATTGTGAATCACAGGTCTTTGAAGCATCCAAATATCATAAGATTTAAGGAGGTATTTGATTTCAAGCTGTGAAATTAGTTTTTGATGATTGTTCAATTTCTGCATTGTATGACTACTGTCTACCTTATTTTATCAAGTATCGATGATGTCGAAAGGGCTTTTGAAGCTTACTCTGCTACAGCGGACCAAGTACTAGACTGTGGCATTTTGTTTATAAAACACGTTTTGTTTTATACAGGTCCTACTCACTCCCACCCACCTGGCAATAGTCATGGAATATGCAGCTGGGGGAGAATTATTTGAAAGAATATGTAATGCCGGAAGATTCAGTGAAGATGAGGTAAATTAGGTTGCTACTTGACTATTAAACTTGTGATGATTTGGTAAATTGATGAGAAACTGAATTGCAATGAATTCTCTTGGATGGCTTTGCAGAAAATTGTCTGTTGGTTAGCCTAATCTGTCCCTAATTTGCATAAAAAACTGGATTCTTTACCTAAATGTTCTGTTTGTTCTTCGTTTCTTTGGTGAATCTGTACAGGCCAGGTATTTTTTTCAGCAGCTGATTTCAGGAGTCAGCTACTGCCACTCAATGGTACTGACTTGCTTGCTTTCTGATGTTTAAATGGTCATTTCAGGCTGATTTTCCATTCTTCTTCTCTTCCTCTTGATTTGCAGCAAATTTGCCACAGGGATCTTAAGCTAGAGAATACCCTTTTGGATGGAAGCTCAGCCCCGCGTCTTAAAATTTGTGACTTCGGCTATTCAAAAGTATGGATTTCATAAGTCCAATTATCCCAAATTTAGATTGTTTATGTTTCTAACAGGTTGGTTTCACTTTATAGTCATCAGTGCTGCATTCCCAACCGAAATCTACTGTTGGAACCCCAGCTTACATTGCACCAGAAGTTCTGTCTAGAAGAGAATACGACGGGAAGGTAGTGCCGGGTCGACCGCCCCGTCCCGGTCGACCACCCCTTGTCTTCTTCTACACCAGCAATTTCTGATGTCCTTTACTTTGTGAGTTGCAGATTGCTGATGTTTGGTCTTGTGGGGTTACTTTATATGTGATGCTGGTTGGAGCTTATCCATTTGAAGATCCTGAAAACCCAAAGAACTTCAGAAAGACACTCCAAGTAAGTCATTGCCTTTTCTTTTAATCCGTTAAGCTCTTCCAGTTACTTTACAATGAGTGTTAACAAGCAATATGTTATTCGTTTACACCCAGAGGATTATTAATGTCCATTACTCAATACCACACTTTGTTAGCATTTCAATGGAATGCAAGCATCTTCTATCTCGAATATTTGTAGCCGATCCAGAAACGGTATTCGAACTCGTGCCCTGTTCTAATTCTACCATCTTAACAGCATTTACAAGCATTGTAACTGACTGTGCAATGTTTGCAGAGAATAACAATTCCAGAAATCAAGAAGCACCCATGGTTCTTGAGCAACTTGCCTGTTGAGTTCACAGATGAAGCGTTGTTGGGAGGAATGCGGAGTAATACAGAAGGTGATGCGTTGCAGAGCATTGAGGAGATCCTGTCGACAGTTCAAGAGGCTAGAAAGGCAGGAGAGGGGCTGGTAGTTGGCGGGCAAGGACAGTTTGTTGGGGGCAGCTTGGACTTGGATGAACTGGACACGGATCTTGACATTGATGATTTGGAGGTGAGTGGTGATTTTGTTTGTTCCATGGAGTGCTAGTCCTTGTCAAGTAGGCCAAGTTTGGCCAAAGAAATAAAAATGGAATTTATGGTTGAGTTGGGGAATCAAATTCTGTGTTATTTAGTGGGATGATGATGATGATGTGTAGGGTATTGCTGTTCGTTCAAGGTTTCTATGTTTGTCTCTTTGTGCAGAGTCCATTACAAACACTGTAAATTCCAGCAGCTATAATAACAATAACAACCCAGTTTTTTTTTTTTTTTCTTCCTATAGTTTACGTGGAACTGTAAACTGAGATATTACAGTGATCATTTTATCTTCACGATTTTAAAACGCATTTACTATGAAATTTATCATATATGTTTTGTTCTTCCCTCCAATCGATGTGACAATTCATCCCTTGGAAGTCCAACAACCAGACTTTTTCTGGAGTTCATACTTTGGGGCTTTATATTCATAAGAATGTCATGCTTGCTTTTGGCACTCCAAATAAACAAATCTTAATTGAACTCATATTTGCTCAATGCATTCAATGCTCATCGTAAAACTTCATATGGGTTCGATGTTCATCGTAAAACTTCACATGGGTTCGATGTACTTTTATCCAATGCTGGTCGGAGCATATGGTTGCCAAGTTAGTTAAATGCTGTTAATGAGAATAGTAATTCACTATTCTTAACAATAGGGCCTGGAGACTTCTTGGTTCGTCATGCTATTGCTTTAGGTTTACATACAACTACATTGATCTTAGTAAAAAGTGCGGTCGTTGGGATACCACTTTTTGTATGACTCTAATACCAATCATAAGGACTTAGATTTTTTTTTTTTTTTTTTTATAGAGAAAATTAATCCTAATAAACGTTGAAATTCTTGAAATTATAAATTAAATGGTATTTTTTAATAGAAATATCTAATAATAGTAACCAAAACTACTAATTATATAGTCTCAATAATATAGACCAAGTCTAAATAAATGAATATCACCCACTTAATTAATAATACAACTACCAATTTTATATTGTATGGTTACAATTAGTGACAATGATTTAACAAATTAAACAAATAAAGAAGAGACCGTTTCAAACAAATACATAAGCTTTAACTTTATAATTAAAAAAAAAAAAAATAGAACTTATCTAACCCACCATGCTTCAAATTTAATAGATTAATTAATAATGGACCAAAGCCCATAAAAATCAACACGATTCCTGTAGGCCCATATAACCAGAAATGCGAGTGGCCCAATCAAATAGGTCAGGCCCATTGAATGGCGGTTTACGAAGGCCCATTAGTGTTAAGCCCTCAGGCCTCAAATGGGCAGTTAGAAATCCAAACCGGCTGAAAACTACCTGGTAAAGTGGGTAGAAAACATCGGAGGCGGGACTAAAACCCCAAATCGCAGCCTCCCCGCCGGTTTCATAATTTATGAACGTGTACGCTTGCAGCTGAATTGAGCGAGGTTTATTGAACATGGGAGGCAAGGGGAGGGGCGGTAGAGCTCGTACTCAGAGAAAGCATTTTCGAGAGAGCAGAGAGAACGTTTGGAAGCGTCCAAAACCCGATCCTAACTCTGCCAATGGCAACAAGGATGGCAATGGCAATCACTGGGAGCCTTTCGAATCTCAAAGTCATGCGTTCAATGAGTACTACAAGGTTTTTGTTTATTGAACTCTTTCTTCAGTTCTTTTTGTATTTCTCTTTGTCAACAGAACAGTGTTTTATGAGTTCGATGGATGGTGAGCTTTTTTTGCTGGTTTGGTGTCTAGAATTTCTGACTTTTATGCCAATACGTTTACGACAGCGTAAGTTTGTTTGAGCTTTCTAACTACGATTTTGGAAAATTGTAGGAGCAAGGCATAGTTACTGCGGAAGAATGGGATACGTTTATTGAGTTTCTTCGTAAGCCATTGCCCGCTGCTTTTAGGATCAATTCTAGGTATCAGTTACCATTTCCATTATTAATTACCCCTCTCACTCTCTCTCTCTATCCAAAAAAAGAAAAAAGATATGAACAATGAAAAGAAAATACCGCTTCGCCAGGATGTCATAATCTTCGTGGTGTACCGTATGCACGTTATCCTATTGTATGCAGCCCACGTGTTTTTTTTTTCCCTTTAGTTTTTATAAACCATTTACATATATTCCGAATTACATGAACTCCATTGCTTCTTCTAATCATCTGTTTTGTTCCGTTAACGTTGCATCTTAGTACTATTGCTGTCGTTATCATTAGCATTTGAATTTTACAGTGGACAGTTCTGTGGGGAAATACGAGCCCAGTTACAAAACGACTTCACGAAATCTCTTCAAGCTGAGGTGGACACTGTGAACATTGTTGTTTTTAAATAGGAATGTGACCCAAAATTTATTATCGATCCATATTTGTTCATTTCCTTCTCTATCCTGTTCAGGTTACTGATGGTGATGAAGCTGAGGCTATTAGACCATTGCCTTGGTACCCTGACAATCTTGCGTGGCATTCAAATTTTTCAAGAATGCAACTACGGAAGAATCAAGCTCTCGAGAGGTAATATTGTATTTTCTTGAGCACTTGAAAGGTAAATTGTTGTACTTTATGGTCACTATTATTTTCTTGATTAGCAATGTAAATTATTTCAATATAATGAATGCATGGATGTTTAGCAATCTAGATTTCCAAGGTCTCGTTTGATACCATTTGGTTTTTAATTTTTGGTATTTTAAAATTAATCTTATAAATACTAGTTCACTTATAAGTTTCATTTTTTTCGTTATCTACTTCCTAAAAATGTTTTAAAAATTCAAGCCAGATTTTGAAAAACTAAAAAAACTTGTTTTTGTTTTTAGAATTTAGCTGATAATCCAAACATTTCTTTAAGAGAGGTGAAAACCATAGGATAGAAATTACGAGGAAACAAGCATAATCTTCAAAAATAGAAAACTAAAAAACAAAATCATTATTAATTAGGGCCTGAACTTTTAATAATTGTATATGCATTATTTTGATATTGGATGTTCAACAATCTGTTCATGAGAAAGTGTATTTTGGTATCGAGAACTTAGAAGCAAGTTTGTCTTTACCTACTATATCTTTAATGGTGCTGCACTTTAATCTACAAAAATTTCCTAATGTAACAACGGATCAATTTGAATCACGCTGCCAAATGCTACGTGCTTTTTACTGTTTCTACTTTTCGCAGTTTTCATGAATTCTTGAAGCTAGAAAATGAAATTGGGAACATTACAAGGCAGGAGGCTGTCAGCATGGTATGCAAGACATCTACACATTTATAAGACACCTACTGATTACTTGATATATCAATTGAGAATATTATCGTAACATTTAATTGTCATTTATATCTCATATACATTCTTATCAATTTGGGGCTTATGGCACAGGTACCTCCTCTTTTTCTGGATGTACATCCAAATCACTATGTACTTGACAGTAAGAAATTTATGCTGATTTAAACGACCATCTTATTTTTTATTTATTTATTGTATGGTCTCAACTTTATATAGTTCATGCATATTATCTCTAACTGTTTTTTTTTTTTTTTTTTTTTTTTTTTTTTTTTTTTTTTTTTTTTTTTTTTTNTTTTTTTTTTTTTTTTTTTTTTTTTTTTTTTTTTTTTTTTTTTTTTTTTTTTGCTTATTACTCAGTGTGTGCTGCTCCAGGCTCCAAAACATTTCAATTACTTGAGATCATACACCAATCCAGCAAACCTGGAGATCTACCTGACGGATTGGTGTGCCTTCTTTTATTTGTATACTCTTCTCCATAAGTTTCTGTCCGGAAACTTTTTTTTTTCTGCCTATGAAGTAGTAGAGTGCTTGCAACCCTTTTCATTTGTTTGGTTGCTTGTCTTTATATTTCATATTTATCCTACTTTCTCGTGCTATTGATTCTTTATGAAAAATTGATTCGTTAGTCATCTTGATTAGGTAGTGGCAAATGATTTAGATGTTCAAAGATGTAACCTTCTCATCCACCAAACTAAAAGAATGTGCACTGCCAACCTTATTGTTACAAATCATGAAGCACAACATTTTCCTGGCTGTCGAGCAAATACCAATTTCTTCAGTGCATCTACAGCAGGGAATGAACTAAAACCTCGTAGCACTCAACTTACATTTGATCGTGTTTTATGTGATGTTCCCTGTAGCGGAGATGGTACACTTCGCAAGGCTCCAGATATATGGAGGAAATGGTAGCCTTAAGAACTTCTTGCTTCTTGTCCTGTGATTTCTCATCATTTGGTCTTATTGGTATTTCTAGATGGTGGTTAAATTTTTTTATTGCTTTCAGGAATTCTGGGATGGGTAATGGTTTACATGGCTTGCAAGTGCAGATAGGCATGCGAGGTACCCATCTTCAACTTTGAATTGCAAAATCTATGATACTGATTATAGCTGCCATGAATTTCCCATTTATCTTCACTAGGCCACCAATACGATTTTATTTATTTGTTTATTTATTCTTCTTATTATTATTTTTGCTTCAGATTAATGGAAAACCAAAATGTTTTCATCAATTCTTGTAGGTGCCTCTTTACTTAAAGTTGGTGGAAGAATGGTTTACTCAACTTGCTCAATGAATCCCGTTGAAAACGAGGCTGTTGTTGCAGAGGTAATGTATAAGCTTTCTGGACCTAAATAAAAGACACCCAATGAGATGCATCAAGGCCTCTCGGTCTTTGTAAGTAGCTCTTTTGGTGGGGTGGGGGGTTCTCTTCCCCCAGCCCGTAGGTTGTCTTTCCTTTCTTTCCTTTTGAATATTTTGGGATGGTTTCTTATAAAAAAAGCTAGTGCTAGGTCCAGGACAATAAGAAAATTACCTATATTGACAAGATTTATTGCACTCTTTTTTAGTTTTTATATTATATATATATTTTTTTATCAATGAGCGAAGCTTATTCTCCAAAAGTTTAATTGTTCTCTTTCTATTTCTTGCTCTGGTGGCCAAGCATGTACATATCAGCTTATTAAAGCCGTCCCTTCTTTTCATCGATTTGTCTGGTTGCAGCTTTTGCGAAAATCTGGAGGCTCTCTTGAACTCGTTGATGTCTCAAATGAACTTCCACAACTTGTTCGTCGGCCTGGTCTTAAGAAATGGAAGGTGAGTTCTTATTTTCTCGGTATTTCTTTTAAGATTGAAAGTTATTATAGTCTATAAGATGCAATTTTTCTTGTTTTATAGTTTACATTTTGAATTAAATAATTTTTTATCTGTCATTTTGGGCTGTTTGGGTATATTTTTAGAAATTGTTTTTAAAACTGTT